AAAAACATTGTATATGGTATAAAGTAGTGAAAACAAGACTTGTTTGGTAACAACCAAGTCCTCAAGGTCGTAAATCACGTGCGTACGGTTTTGACCGTTTTTCACGTGTTAGACCGATTGACCAAGATACAAAAGTGGTTTTTGCAAAATAATTATTCGGGAACCTTTAAAATATGCTCAGAGATAAAAACAGGGTTTAAAATATTGAAAACCACGGAGTTGGTTCGGGCGCCAAAAACCGAACGCCGAAAACCGAACGACGAAAGCCGAACGCCGACTTAGGTGGTTTTGGTTCTGAGCAAGGACCAGGGATTTTAACAATAAGGAGATTTATCTAAAATGTTTATTTTGATGCATAAAAACATTTTATGATTTTGTAAAATAATTTTGACTCTTTGAGAACCGAGACTTGAATTGATTATCGGTTTTGATCACAAAAGACCGACTCGACTAAGTCTTCAATTCTTGATCTGTCCTTGAGTCTTTTAGGTCTTGTTCCAAGCCATTCTTCACGCCTTGAGTTATTCAACGAAACTCTTCATATCCACGGCGGTTTGGCAATTATCAAAACCTGTCAGAAATGAACACGACTTTAGTTTAACGTGCAAAGTGTGTTCCAACAGTATTTGGCATTAATTGGCTTTAAAAGTTCTATTTTCGTATAAAATATTGAACCTCCTATTTTAGTATATGGATCATGTTTTAGAGTTTGATTGATGATTTTCCCTCAAAGTGTGTCACACAAATATCTCTTTTGATGTGAAGTATTCATTGTATGGTTTTATGAATATTTTTATAATGATAAAACAATTTAACATTCTCTGTATTTTTATCAATAACCTTTATTTTAATTACTTTTATACTCCCTCCATCTCATTAAAAACTTCCGAGTTTGATTTTCATGAAGTTAAGACAAGTGTTTAAAAATAAAAAAATGTGTAGTAATTTGTTTACATGAGAGATAAATTTTTGGAGCCACGTGTTCAAAACCTTAAAAGGAAATAAAGGAAGTAAGAACTTTTTTAGGAACATCTAAAATAAAGGAAACTTTTTTAGCCATATATATATATATATATATATATATATATATATATATATATATAGAGAGAGAGAGAGAGAGAGAGAGAGAGAGAGAGACCTGTATTTCAAATTGTTTGTAGACTAATTAATTACCTATATATAGAAGAATGTATGTGTATATTAAGAGACCAGTTTAAATGATTTATGTTTCTATTATTTCAAGTGCTTAGTATTTATTCAAGGTTTCGACTATTCCCTCCGCCCCGTAAAAAAGTTTCACATTTCTTGTTTAGTTCATCCCAAAAAAATCCCACTTTTTATTTATGGAAAATTTTCTATTGGCTCGTTTTATTTATTTCTCATTTGCATCACCACAACAATACAATTTCACCTTTCTTAATAATTGCGTCGGATCCATTTTGGAACTTTTTTGTGGGACGGAGGGAGTACTATGTTTGATTTAAAATATATTCAAAAAATACTCCATACATAAAAAATTCTACAAAGAAAGAGACTACTGAATGTAGAACGAGACTTGCATAATGTGTGGAAAAAAAGTTTCCGAATATGATCATGAATAATATTATATAAATATCAAGTCATATATGTAGGGGTAAGGTTTAGAGTAGGGTTAAGCTCTAGGTACACACACCTTCCCCATACCTTACTCTTGTGGGATCCAACTGGGTTGTGGTATTCATACATGTAGTAATTGTCTATGGGTTGGTATAAATCAATATAAGTCATGTCCATAGAAGACTTTTATAAAACCTATCATTTAAAATAAATCCACAAATACCCTTTTAAACTATGTAAAATTAAAATGTTAATTCGATTTTTGGGAGTAACAATGTAACATTTCATTTCTAAGCATGGCCCATCTTCACATTATTATATTTGGGCTAAAAGCTAAATAGGTCTAATCCCTTAATACGCCTATCATCTTCATCTCTCAACTTTCTTCTGTCAATTCACTCTTCAATGTTCTTCCATTTTTAGGTATTTCCACTTTTGTTGTTTCATCTTTCTAAGACATTTTGTCGCTTCATCTTTCTATGTCAAACATTTCTGGAACTCAAATTATGTCTTGTTTCTTTATGTAGATAAGAAACCCTATTATGATCTGTTCTTATCACTGTTTTCAGTTTTCACTTAAACTATAATTTCTAGGAAAAATTTACACCAATGCTCCCAGAGTTGCACGAGTTCACATAAATACTCCAAGATTCAATAAATGACATCAGTGCTCCCAAAATTTTCCTATATTCACATCGGTGCTCCAAGAATTGATATGTGTTTTTATCAGTGCCCCAACATTTGGAGCATAGAAGTAAACAAAAATCAATTCTTGGAGCAACGTTTTGAATATAGAAAAATTTTGGGAGCATTAGTGTCATTTAAAAAATCTTGGAGTATTTATGTAAACTCGTGCAATTCTGGGAGTATTGGTGTGAATTTTTCCTAATTTCTATGTCGGTTTATTACCATCATTTTTACCTAATAAAGATTGAATTTACTCTTGTTATTCATTTTAAGACCCTAAATTTCAATAACATTCAACTGTAAGAATTGACATCTGGTTTGCAAATCTAATTTTATTGTTTATCTTTAGATTTCAACAATACTTTTTACTTATTTTCTTTCTTTTTTTTGTTGTTGAAGAGATCTGTTATAGTATGATGGTCTCGAAGAACACATACATACAGAGTACTCTGTATTTTTATGCTTTAGTATATTCTTTTTAAAATTTTAATTACTGTTATTTTCATATATAATACTCCCTCCGTTCCCGAGTATTTGTCCAGTCTTCCTTTTTGAGCCGTCCCACAGTCTTTGTCCACTTACCTTTTTAAGTAAGAAAAAACTCATGCTAGTAAGTTCTTATTTCTTTCTTCACTCCATTAGGTATTTCTTTCTTGTTCAATGCTCCATCTCTGGCTGGTTTCTACAACTTCCAATCTTATTAAATATTCTGGTCCATTGATAAAAAAGCAATTTGTTTATGCTTATATCAATAATGAACTTTGGATATTTGATCAGAAATCTAAATCTGAGACACTATTCCACAGATCTTCTATTATCTCTAGCTTATTCTCGCATGCTCTGGAGTTGCGACAAGTCGTCGCCCTTCGCTACCAAGGATTGGATTCTTCGTCTCAGACATTTAAGGGTTCGGCGGCTCGACGAGACCGGGGAGGGCGGGCTGCAGTGGACTGGACTACAAGGAGTGGGGTAGTGAAGGACACCCAAAGTAAGGGCTTTTGTGACTTTTTACACCTCACCTTGGTTTTAGTGCCAAATAGAAAGTGGACATAAATTCAGGGACGGAGGGAGTATCTGTTAGATAGTGACTTTCCACAAGTTCAGTTCTTCAAATATGGACTTTATCTCTGAGTTTTGAATCTTTCAATAAATTTAGTTCAAATGCTTATTTAAAATGAGTTTTACACTATGCTTGGTTCAAGAAATTTGAAAGAATTAAGAGAAGAAAATGATATGGAAAATAGTATTTTCTTGTTTGATTAAAGAGAAAAATAAAAGAAAAATGGAAACTCAGAAGATGGAAAACAACTTTCCTTCCATTTTGTTGAGGAAAAAGAGAGAAGTCTCCTTCTTTCCAAATTCCACAAACCAAACTTAGTGATAAAGTTTCAAAAAATTTGACATAACAAAAACAATTTTGCTCAAATCCATTATAAGTCCCATTTAAAGTGTTCTACATTTTTACCAAATTAAATACTACTACATACAAATGTTCTGTAACTATTTTAAAAAAAAAACTTTGGGAGTCTTCAACTCTGTTTGTGTCTGCGTTGACACCTGCATTTTTAAGTTGTCTTATAAAAAAGACATCAATAATGTATAACAAGTGTCAAACTCTTTTGATGATTTCTCTAAACCTGCTTGCTTAACCTTTATGTTCATGACCAATTGTTGTTGGTGAAATTTTGCCATCTGCATAGTGTTTGTATTCAACCAAATATCATGCTTAAAATAAGAAGTGGTAAAAAAAAATAGTAATGATTACTCATTAACACTGTGTTTGGTTCAAAGAATTTGAAAGGGAAAGAAAAGAAAATGAGAGGGAAAATAATTGTTCATGTTTGGTTAGAGAGGAAAAGAAAAGAAAATGAGAAGATAAAATTACTAAGAGGGAAAACTAAATTCCTCCCATCTTGATGAGGAAAACGAGAGAAAATCATTTTCTTTTCTTTTCCTTTTTAAAATCCTCCAACCAAACATAGTGTAAATGCTAATTGAGTTAACCGTCTTTTGTTTCCAAAGAGGTGTCTAGATCTTGGGAGTTTCTTCTTGTTGAAATAAATGAAATGTCTTTCTTTCTACAAAATTGGTTTATTTGTTGCTAAAAATTGCAAATACAATGTGTTAGGAAAATCTAAAGTTGCAACTCATGATGATATAAGCCTCTTTTGAAAACAATGTTTTGAATTAGCGTTAGCGTTTTGAATTATTTTTTTAAATAAAGATTCGACACAAAGTATTGTTACTAAAGCTCTCATATTCAACTCTACCATTGCTTAATTTATAGTACCATAAATTACTACCACAAGGCCTAATTTAGTTTGAACAGCCCTAGTTTTTCTAGCAGAGTGATCGAAGCCACAAATTGACAATCCTACCCCTGTATTAAAAAATATTTCTTCTTCTTATCTCGTTTTTTTTCTTTCGGTTTTAGTGTTGTAGAGAATATGGGCAGTGTTCTGAGTAAGGCTGGCGATGGCATTGGAAATGCATTTGCGGCTCCTTTCAAGGCCGTTCTACAAGGATCTTGCGAGTATCTCCTTTTCCTTTGGCAAAAACGAAATTCAATTTTTTTGATCGTTAATTCGTATTTGAATCCGAATTTTATTGCTTCTTATATAAATTCTCCGGTTTTGGATTTTGCAGCGACGTGTGCGCCGGAGTTTGGGATGTCTCATGCTTCATCACTCACCTCTGCGTGTCCGATTTGATGAAGTTGTTCATGATCCTGATTCTATGTTACATAAGTAACACTCTCTCTTTTGATTTGTTGTTTCTGTTTAGTGCCTAGGAAAAGTTCTGTTTTCACATTTTTTATCAGAGTAATCCCTAGTAATTTAGTCTCTGTTTCTGCTTTCAATTTCTTTTGCTGAAGCCCCATTTGTTCATGTTTTTCTTGTGCAGCTTTGTTGTTCTTCTACATGTTCTTCAAACTGGGGATATGCCAATGCTTAGGGAGGACTATCTGCGGAGTGTATTGCTCAACTTGTAAGGCGTACTGGTCTGCAATGGGGTGTTTGGCATGTTTCCTCTGGCATAAACTCACACACGTCGAGCGCGTAAACAGGCGGCACCACCGCCGGCACCGCTTCCTCGACATCGAATCCGGCGACGATTCCACCTTTGGCGGCTCTTTTGCCGCCAACGGTGGAGTCAGCGTCTCTGAACGTTGCCGACAAAGCCGCCGCTGCCAACGCCGCCTTTATATGGGCGGAGGAGAAATTGGGGTTCGGGTTCATGGGAGGCGTGTGGGGTCAACGAGGAGGAAGAAGAAGTTAAGAGATCATCATCGTCGTCGTCGTCATCATGGTGGGAGAAAGGACATTGTTGTTCTTGGCCCAAAGATGGCATCTTTCAAAAGAAGACGCGTTGTTGCATAATAGGAGCGATGCCCATAACAATGTGCAATTTTGTACATGTTTTTTCTTTTACATGTTGAATGAAATTTGCTAGGACTAATAGTTTAGTTTATCACCAAAGGAAATTAGGGGCCACTGCATCTTTTTTATGTCTTGTGTCACTAATATTTATGTATATATTTGTGTCACTAATTTTATTGATATATTTGTGTCACTATACAATGATGTGGGTCCAAATCTTACATAAACTAGTTTTTTGTGCCAATTATTGTCTGATTTTCTATTCATTTTAATGAAGTGAAAAATACTATTTTTTGTTTAGTTAGAAAAAGAAAGGAAAAGTGGAAGGAAAAGAAAATGAGAAGACAAATGTATTAAGTGGAAGGAAAATCAAATTCCTCCATTTTGGTGAGAAAAATGAGAGAAAATTATTAATTTTTTTATGAATGATTTCTATTGATTAATAAAAGTCCATAGATTCTTGTATGAAGAACTTTATAGGTTATTTGATACCTCTCATTCCATGAAATTCTTTACACTACTTCATATTGTATTAAATCTAATTTTTTAACCTATTCGTATTAATCATTTGATAAAATTAAAGAAGCTGTAAAAAAATCAAACCTTTTGCATCTTCTCATGTAATCATTGCCAAAATCTTTTTAGGCATTAAGCGCCAAAATAGAGAAGGCCTTTTGCATCGACTATTTTGGAATAACCGATGCAAAAGGACTTCTCAAATTTTGAGCAAAATGTCTGAGGTCTTTTGCATCAGTTATTTTGGAATAATCAATGCAAAAGATCTTCCCGGCACCAATTCGGGGCGCGTAAACACTTGCTCAGTTTGACAACGATGCAAGAACTCTTTGCATCGCAGCTATTTGCATCACTTAAGAACATATCCAAATGTTAAAAGAAGCGGATGCAACACATATTTTCTGTAGTGTTTAACGCATAGATTAAATAATTAAACAATGAAGTAATCTAACTTATACACACAAAGGCATTTTAGGGATAAAAATACAAGAGAAGGATGAGTAGAGTGTGGATAGTAATAGTTGAAGTGTTAAAATCACTAGCCATAATATGCAATTATAACAAAAAAAAGTTATGAAAATAGAATTTACAATTTGACTTTTTACAATGGCTAACACTATAACAAATAAAACCCATATTCCAAAATGAGATTGACTCCGTTAAGGCCTTGTTACACTTTAATGTATATTTTGAGCACAGTTAAAGTTTATAAATTTTGACCACAAATTTGAGAGTGCATACATCACTTTGGAGCAAGGGTGATTGTGATGTATCTAATTAAATAAAATAAAGAGTACAAATTGTACCTACACAGCAGTTTAAATACATCCACACCTTTCCTTACACTTGCATCCTTGATATAATCAAGTCATTTAGGAGTAATTAATTCTAGATAAGTTTCCGCTATAGAAATAATAATGCCAGGACACTAGAGATTATCAGTTTACCACACCACGTGTTGCATAAAGAACCAAATGTCAAAGAAGTGTACATTTAAAGTAAGCAGAACCATGCTAGCAGGGTTAATGCAAATAAATCCAGTTAGAAGATACTCTATATATGATATGGCAAACTCTCAAAAATCTCAACTGGAAGTGAAGAATGGAAAAACAATGTCTTTAAGTTGATGTTTTTGCTGAGATAGTAGTCCATAGTACCGGTTAGTAATGTTCAGTTCAAGGGCTGGTGGTGATTGCCGTACCCATTTGCAGATCCTCCTCCATATCCCCTGGCAGCATACATAGTCTGATCATGATTGTTTGGCATAGTGTGTCCATATCCAGCATAACTTTGCCTTCCGGAATAATCCCCACTCCATTGACCATCAGCTTCAGCTCTTGCCTGAAAGGGAAAAAACGATGAGGTTAAACTGTTAAAGTCATAAATTCAAAACAACCTTTTGAACAAAATTCATACCATAGAACTTGCATTCATGAGAAATACCTGCTGCTTGTTTGCAGGAGTTCGACCCCAGGAAAGACGAACTGTGTAATTGCCAATGACTGATCCATTTAGTTTCTGTATTGCATTTTCCGCAGAGCTCCTAATGAAGTATGCAATAGAATTTTAATGAAACAAAGATAAGTTCTCATGAGTCATCTGGATGTTAACTTTAGCACAGTGAGATTACCTGCTTTCAAATTGTACAAAACCACATCGCTTCCCAACAGGTATTTTGACTGAGGTAATATTACCAATCGGGCAAAATGCCCGGTGTAGGTCTTCTTCGGTAACATCAGAATCAATTCCTCCAACAAATATCTACAAAATAAGGCAAGAGTTAGTAAGTAAGCAAATTGCCTATGAATAAGTCACCTAGTTTTCTAGACTTACTGTTGTGTTGGATAAATCATTATCAGACTGGTTAGCTTGGGCTATAGCACCATTTGAAGCATATCCACCAGCCAAAACCACAGCTAAACAAATGTCTCATCAATAGAACCAATCAATACAAAATATCAAAAGCATCTTTCCAAGTTAATCAGTTCAATAAACAAACATATACTCCCACCATCCCGAACTATTCATTGTTTTGGCAAAAAAAATGTGTTTGTTAGGAAATCATTGTGTTTTTTTCTAATCTTCCAAGTTTTGACATCTTAACTCTCACTAAATTTAACTCTTTTAAGGTTCATTTTGTTAAATTCCTTTATATGTGTGTACCTAAGAGCTAATGTACTCCTCGGGTGATGGACTAGAGATTAATATATTTATAAAAACACATTTCTAATAAACACATACTTTTTTTATCCCTAATAAATTAATGGCTACTTTGACTGGGTACAAGAATTGAGAAAATGAAAACTGTGTTGTTGAGATTTGTTTAGAAGAGATAAATAATGCTCCATCCATGTCGCTGGATTCTCTATAATAACTATTCACAAATTAAACTAAATTTTGTTTCTTAAAGAACATTATTAATCATTTGATATAATAATATTATAGTGTGACCTCTTGTTTCATAGATCCTTTAATGTAGTTTTCAAATATATAAATTTTGTAAAATTATACACTAATATTTAAAACAAATGAATTGAAAATAACATTAGTCAAACATCGGAAATCGGGCCTCAAGAATTCAATGCGAAGGAGGGAGTATGAAACACAAACACAAGGGAGCATGTTAATTTTAGAATGAACAAAGGGAGTATGTTTCGTAAGTTAAATTGGCAATTCAGAACAATTGAAATTGATACAGCTTTCAGCAGAAGGAATAGAAAATCCTACCTTGTGAAGAAAATTGTTGTGGTGTAGAAGGTTTCTTGGGGGTTGCTACCCCAATTCTCATAGGTCTGTTACAGCAATACGCACCATTCATTTCAGTCATGGCGCGCGACCTCTCATTCTCATCACCGAACCTAACAAAGCCGTATCCTTTTGAACGCCCAGTACTCGTATCAAATACTACCTTCGCACTTTTAACAGAGGAATATCTACTAGAAAAAGTTTCACACAACAGGGAATCCGTGACATCATGGCCTAAATCCCCAACAAATATCGATAGATCAGAGCCTGCAGGATCTGCAGCCCTCTTCTCCCCAGTTCCCAATCCTGCCCAATTTAAGTGAAAGGGTTGTTGAACATTCGGCATCATGGTGCCATTGTAGCACCGCAAGACATTCTCAGCTGCAGTGTGGCTATTGAACTCAACAAATCCATATCCCTCAGGATTTCCAGTTTGCTTGTTTCTAATAACCTTAACAGAAAGAACCTGCATTACTTAACAACAAACGTGAAGACCATTTACAAGTGCCTAATCCATTTTTATGCAAACAATTGACATTTATGCAATTGTGCAAAGATGCATATGCATTTGAGTACACAAATAGTACATGTCGACATTCATTGAAAGCACTGCAGAGCATGTCATGCATTATTGCACCAACAAATTAATGCATAAGCTATCCATAAAAAACTTTAGCAAAAATAATCAGAAAATAGTTGATATAAAAGGATGCCATGAGAATTCATTTATATTAATGTTATCAGTCAATAAATACACTATGCCGTAGCAATAGACCGGGCTTCATAGTACCAATCAATCAACTATGCAGTAGCTATACACTACCAGTTGAGGTTGGATCCTTTATTTTTCATATTACTTCGGTTTCTATACGGTACAAACGGTCAGGCTAACCTGGATGGTTTCAAGTACAATTTGGAAGGAAAAATTATATTTAGCAGAAACATTTGTTTCACAATCTTTAGGGCTCAGGTAAGGTCATGAACAGATGTTACTAAGCATTCCATTAATGTCCAGTTATACACAAATAACATAAAGACGGAAACAGCTATGCTTACTTCTCCCGATTGAGCAAAGCACGAATTAAGATAAGCTTCGTCCATCCACGGCTGGAGGTCTCCAACCCAGATCGTGCGGTTATCTTCGCCGGAGGTGTGATTTTGCGAAGACTGCTTCTGCTGCTGCTGCTGCTGGGGCTGTTGATAGTGCTGCTGTGGCTGCTGGTAGTACGACGCGTATTGCTGCCCGTACTGCATCGCCATTGCGGCTGCGGGATACTGCATCGACATCCATTGCTGCTGTTGCTGATACTGCTGCTGCTGATACTGATATTGCTGCTGCATCGCCGCCATCCACTGTTGTTGTTGTTGTTGTTGCTGCTGCTGCTGCTGGTTCGCATCTTCGCCCTCCATTTCCTTCTGCCGCAGATATCCCCGGGTTTGACCTCCTGGAGAGAGATAGAGAAATAGAGCGAAATTGCAGTTGATTTGTCGGCGAGGTTTTGCCGGTCTACAGTCTACACGGTCGGTTTAGGGTTGGAGAATTTTCTGCAGTATTCTTAATATCAAAGGGTTGGATTTAAATTCTCAGTTAAACTTCATACCCATCCATTCATCCACTTCCTATTCATTCATAATTCTTTATATTTTAGACTATAATATTCAAGATTCGGCTCACACAATTTCGGTATGTGATGAGTCTATTTGGCATTCTTTTGACCTATCATTTGCCACATATTTATTATTTTAATAAATTAGCAATATTAATCAATATACCAAATAGTGATTAAGAAATATTTTATTCCGTAGTTTTTTTTGTATTGATTTTATGTAGTGACAAAATACTGAGTAGTTTTTTGTGAGCTTCATGCCGTTAATCTTAAGAATTATTCAAAATTTGACAGCAAAACAAATTGATGTGTGTATCATATATTCAAACAAACCAATTTGTGTATCATATATACGTATAGGGGTAAAGAACATTTCCTATTTTTAGATTTATATTTATATTTTTTCATAAAAACTTGACTTAAAGTCATTCATTTTTATGAACATTTCCTATTTGAAAGCTAAATCTTATAATTTTAATAAAATATTCAATATAATCATTTGTAATATTACTTGCCCTCTTTTTTAATGTCAAATCATATAAATTTAATAAAACATTAAATATAGTTATTTCTGATATTACTTGCCATCATTTTGGATTTATTACTTAAATTACTCAATTTTAGAGTTATGTTAATAAAAATAGTTGATTCCCCTGAAATTCGATTACAAAATGTTCGGATATAATTCAACGAATGTGTCATCCATCACCCACTCAAGTTTAAGTACTACGTGTTCAGAGAAGATCAATATTATGCTTTAAAAAACACGGAATCAGTATTTAAACTTCACCTTTCAGTTTTTTACGTATTGTTGGTATAAGCATTCAACTTTTTCGTAACAATTGTAACCATGAAAAATCAACCTGACGAGAGAAGGACGAGATCAACTAGATATGCAAGAGAAAGTAGATTAGGAATACTTCAACAAAAAAAGACATAAAAAGGTGTGTATTTTTAAGATTATTAATTTATTTTAGCGATTCAATATAAATTTGTAAAAATTATAAATATCGTTTGCAGGTTTCATATAAATCATGGGCAATGAAAGTGTAAAATTGTTGCTTTAGATTTTTCCTACATCCGTCTTTTCATATAGCATCATAACGCATATGTGTTTAGAATTTTTGTAATTACTAGATTAAACAAAATATTTTGGTGATTGTAGTTTGGTATTTCCATGGTTCCCGAGGTAACAAAGACGATCGATATGCCGTATGCAATATTTTCCATTAAGAACACGAGAGTTATACCACTTGAGAATACTTTTAACGGTCTAACGGGGATGTACAGGCCATCAAAGCTTGAAGACAGTTATCAATGGTGTACATATACAACTCATTCGAGGATGCATGTGAAAGACTGAATTATTAACCGATGATAAAGAATTTATTGAAGGTATAAAAGATACTGCTGAGCTAGGATGTAAGAGTCAGCTAAGAAAGTTGTTTGTCACATTTTTAGTCGCGATACCATGAGTCGTCTTCAAGTTATTTGAGAAAAATCACGGGAGCTCTTGGTTGATGAGGTTTTATTTGATCGAAGAAAAGTATGGTGTAATCAAATTATTTCTTTGAAAAGATAATTTTAATTAGAGTAAATTCTATAATTGGTCCTTTATAACATGGGGGGTTTCCATATTTAGTCCTCTATTATCAAATATTATCTCCGTAGTCCTTTTTTAAGGATGTCTTTCCACAAATGGTCTTTTTTGATCTTCTGCTATTTTGGTGTTAATTTAAAGGCTAAAAGTATAATTTGGCGTCAACATTATGTCAAGTGATGTGTTCTGATATTGGTTAAGCAGATAACATAAAAATAATGACTATAATTGTGTGCTAGGATTTCGATAAAAGACCACATTTGTAGAATATGGTTGTAGTAGAAAGCGACTGTAATTCACAAACGACGCAAACGGAACAGGCTTTGGAATTGTGTATGACAAAAAAGATATATTATCATTGTGAAATTACACTTTTAGCCCTCAAATTAACACCAACATGATAGAAGATCAAAAAAAGACTATTTGTGGAAAGATACCCATAAAAGAAGGACCACTAGGGTAATATTTGATAATAGAGGACTAAATAGGGAAACCCTCTCTTATAAAGGATCATTTATTGAATTTACTCTTTTAATTATTTTATAAAGATCAATATGAAATGCAAGTAAGTATACAAAACTCTAGAATTGAGATCTGGGTTGAAATAATTTAGTTACATTTTAACCTTTTTCACAATTTCTTATTTTTCCAAAAGATCTAAAGAATTTATGTTTGTTTGAGATTGAAAAGTTATTTAATTCAAATGAACGATCCTTAAAGGAGTTCAGTGGTATGTCATTCTTAGATGACAACCCACTTAATAGGTTTCAAAATATTTTCTTGATAGAGAAGTTGAATTATGACAGAGAAAAGTTGTCATTTGATATTAGATGATATTTAACAAGAATGAATGAAGACCAGAAGAAGATGTAAGACGAGATAATGAAAGTCTTGAACAAGCAATGAGCCGAGGCCATTGACCCAGGAAAGTAAAGTATAAAGGGCGATAAAAGACTTAATCACCCGGAAGAGGGGGTCGTGGAAGAAGGGTGCAAAGGAGCCTTAGAGAGGGCTCGAAATCAATCGACATGGTTAAAAGTCTCTAATGTCAAACTGGTCGGGCCAGAGACATCACAAGAAATTACTAGGTTACAAGTGTTCTACTTACAACGTAACAAAAAAAGATATACCCGGGCGGGGTATAGTTACTGGATAATTTGTGTGAAACTCATATTCTTCAAGGACATGACTGGGTCAAGTTTAAAGTTGTACGAGGAAATGATCGGGGCTAACATTGGATCATTCCCAAGGTATGTTACAAGACCGGTTGCTGAAAACATTCTACTATTCCCAAGATTATACTACGAGTCATACCGAGGTGTAGTAGATGAAACGGGCGCGGAGGTATGTCGTTAAACTTTTTCCAAGTCAAATAACATGTGGAAGGAGAACTGATTAATCTTCCTAAGTGTTAACTACGCGGCTAGCTACTTAGAAGATAAAACATTCAAAAATTATAGGGAGATAGCAAGTAGATCAAACAGATAAAGGAAACATTCATATTGAACAAAAAACTGAAAGAGTAGGCGGTCATGATCGCCAAGTTTCAAAATAAAGCTATATAATGTTGTTACATCAGCTCAACCAGGCATACCCGGGCAAAATTACAAAGGAGAGAAATATTAATTCAGGGGGAAAGGGGAAACAGATCATCTTCGAGAATAGAAGGGAGCCCATATGCTTTTAGGGAGAACTCTGGGTTGCGAGCGGCCAGGATGCTATGGGTCACCGCCTGGTCTCTTTTCTGGTCGCACTTGAAGCCATAAGACCTGAAAATGCTTATCATTTTTTCCCTTACGGATCCCGATAGAGCAGCCTGAAGGACTCCATGGTCCCCTCGGGAAAAGAGGTCAGTGCCCGGGTAGTCCAGCCTTGTTCTCCTCTAGCCATGCAAGGGCCTGACCAGGAGGTTCTGCTCCTTCTGCGCCAAAGTCTCCTTAAGCTGAGAGACTCCCCTATCAATCGGGTGTTTTCCTCCCTCAAATGGGTGTTCTCCGCACCCACTACCCCAACCATCCTCGACAGGTTGGCCAACTACTACGTCTATTTCATCATAACGATGGCCATCTCTTTATTCTCCTTGTCCTTCTCTCGGGACTCCTCCTGAGCTTCCCTCCGTTTTTCCTCTAGCTGGGCGACCTTGGAAAGAGAGCCTTTGAAGAACAGGTCAGCACCATCTGGTCCTACTTTGCCAATCTGCGAAAAGATCAAAGATAATAAAAAACGATTAATATACGATAAATGCACAAGGTGAAGAGGATATACTTACATCCTTCAGCTTCAGGCCGAGGTAGATCTAGAGAACCTCCATGGAAAGGGAGCCCGGTTGGAACTCGCCCCTCTACCTCTTAACAAAAGGGTGGGTGGTCGCCACCCTCTTGACCCTTTGTCCCTGGGCCGCTTGGTTTTGGCCTTGCTGGGAGAGGGGCTCTTCCCTGCCTCCCGAGAGGGTTGAACTACCTCTTCCTCGTCCATGATCTCTGCAGTCTCTTGCTGGATTGGGACGCGCTTTTTGGAGGGTGCCAGCTGCGAACTGCTGGGACCGGCTGTGCCTGCAGTAGCCGGGATCTCGTAAGCGCGAACTCCATATCTGAAAAGGAGAAAAAATTTGTTAATTATGATGAAACATACCGGGTAGAATTGAAAAGCTAAGGAAATTTTATTTGAGAAAAAATTGTTTTGTCTTCTAAACAAAACCTTTAATTATGAAATTCCAACATCTCTAAGTTATGACAAAGTATAAAAGTATTTCTTCATATAGTCATATATATTCAAAAGTACATATTAAAAAACAAGGTTTTTATGGTCAAATATCTTTTGTTTATAGATTCAACAAATCATTATCTTTTGATAATGTTTCTTTACTTTTTTATATGAGCATCGCCAAGAGGGGCTAAACCATACCATAAAGTAAACCAATATTCTCAATTTCGCAAATCCTGATACAGTAATAGTATCATTCCTTAATTTTCATCATTTATGTTTTAACCTTACGTCATGCTGAGTCGTTCATCGTAGAGATAGAATCGATAAGACTTCCCTTGTCTGAGTCCGAGTCCGAGTGCCCTTCTTTTCATATTCAAAATTTGTTCTGTGGCCTTTTCCAGTCAGGTATAGATACGCTTCTAGTTTCGGACGCACAGGTTGAGTGATCCCTAGTCGCCTGACCAGTCTGGACCTCATGTACGTACATACTCAACTTCTAATATCGCCCACATCTATACACTAAAATCCATACTATCTATTACTAGAAATAATCTAGATTAAACCATCCTAAAATATCTTTTTTTGTAATTAGTACTACCATCATAATTATCACATCTATGGATTGGAGCATATAAAGTTTTAACATGAAGTCCATATAATTCAATAGTAGAAGTTATCTAGCTTTAACCATTCAATAATATCATTTTAACAACAACACTTAGCAAATAGAATTATCATTATCAAAATTCAGTTTTGGATATTCAGAATTTAAGACGGTCGATTGTTGCTTCGTCATTTTCAAAAGTCTATGACGGTAGCCCGTTCGGAAGTGCGGTCGGCCGTTTGGTCGTAGTTGATTTTCATCCTTCGGTGTGAACAGTGCAAATGGTCGAGGTGGAGGACCGTTGGGGACAACGAAGGCCGTGGTGGTGAAGTGGAGAAAATCCTTTAGCATGAACAGGGTTGACGGTCGATGCCGGTGGACATTCCTACTGAAGTTCGACAATTGGATGTGCAGAATCAGCTTCTTCCTTGGGACGGTCCACTAGGCGGTCGAACGTGTTGAGCCTAGTGGTCTGTTACGTCTTCGGTTTGTGAATGCCAAAGTCTATTTTTACTTATTTGAAATATATGTTTTCCTTACTTGAAATAAGATTTAAATTTGAGGTTAGCATGAGGTCTAAATATTAGGTTTTGATGTTGAATTTAAACGAACATTAATGGTTTTCTAGCTATATTAATTTCTAAGGTTTCATAGCAATACGAACAACCATAAATTGAACTGCATGCTATAAACGATTATAGGAAATCTAACATTAGATCTGAGTCTTGGGTACAAACCTAAGAGTCAACGGAATGAGGCGAAAACGGAGGTTAAAGTTGCAATTCTCATCACTACCGCCATAGTTAGACCAAACTCCGTATTTTGGGTGTATCTCCTTCATTACATGTCCGAATTAAAAACCATTTGAACCAAGGGTAGGATAAGACGTAAAGAAGAGGGTGATAATTACCATCCAAGTCAGCTGAAGTTTTTATTCTTAGGAAAATTAAGCATCACCTTCAAACTGTATGATTTCAACGGGCAACCCAAGAGCTTCTCCTCCTTTATTTTAAAGTTATTTCTAATTCATATACAATGCGTAGGTTAAACAAGCGTTAGGAGAGAACTAAAATGAGTATGATATTGATAGGAGTTAAGTCTAGACTCTTACCCTGAATTTTCTTGCAAAACTCCATTAATGGAGGTTGAGGAATTTTGATAAGATGATGATGAACCTGAATGTATTCTAAATGTTTTGGAGGTATTAGATGAAGAGTATATATCTCTCTTTTAATTAAGAAGTGCAGGAAGAAAGGGGAAATGAATCACATCACACCCACCCAACATAATAATTCAAGAAATTAAATTTATCCAATCACTAGGCAAAATCATGTGGAGGGACCAAGGAAAACATGCAGGATTTATCAAATGAATTGATGTGGATATTTTCAAGATTTGATTAAAATCTTGTTCCAAAAGAAATACTTTATATGTTTGAATTTTGGGTTATTTTCCAAATAGAGTCCAATTTTGAAACCGGCTACGTTTTTAAACTCGAAAAATAAATAAAATCCAACAATGTATTTAAAATGCTTTTCCAGTTAATTTTATTTTTCAGGCCACCAGGGCCCACATGGTCAAGTCGGCAGTTTAAATGGTTAATTCTTTTAGATTGATTTTCATGGCATTACACAAACCCTAGATTGCTCCACCACACCTTCAACATTGACGAAAAGGGGGCGACGATTGTTGACGATAAGAGACAACAGTTGATGAGAGGCGATGGAAATTGAGTAAGAAGAATAGATTTAGTTTTGATTTTTGGTCTTTTTATCGTCTTGTTCTCTTCAACTCAGATATCCATAGATTTTTATTTTCAGTCTCTTCATAGTTGTTTCTCTTCATCTCAAATCTATTTTTTATTTTTATTTTCAAGTTCCTTGTTGTAATTGAGGGCAGAGGCAGGGGATAGGCAGAGACTGAGAAGAAGAAAAGGAATAAGAAGAAGAAGAAGAAGAAGAATTAAAAATAGGCAGAGATGAGGGTGGACGGTGGGTTAATGAAGAAATAAAAAAATGGGCAAATGTTGAGAGATGGGGTAGAGGCAAGACAATGGGTGAATGGAGGAAGAAGGGTGGGAGAGAAAATTTAAAAAGTCAAAGCATTTTACATCTTACCTTAAAACATGTGCAAAATCAAAGTGGAAAGATTCAGAGAGGAAAGAGGGAGTACCTTTCTTGGCGAGCAAGCAACGTTGTGTGGTTGAAAGGATTGTTCCCAGAGCCAACTAAAAAAGTATATGACCTCTAGTGTCTACACACGAAATATGAACGGTATTCTATAGAATACTGTGCTACGTAATTTTTCTTAAAATATTTCTAAAATTTAAAATATATGGAGTAAAAGATAAGAGAAGAAAAACATTTTTTTTCTCCCTTCTTTTCTTGAGAGTGGCATGTGGAATCAAGTGGGAAAGAAGAAGGGATCATCTCCTATTTATAAGGAGCACAAATCTCAATCCCTATTCCTAATAGGTATGCCTTAGAAGATTTAGGAAAAAAATCAAATTCTTTTTCTTGCACACTAGGCTATCATAATTTCGGCGTGACCCATATAGAGCTATTCTATTTTTTGTCAACTTTAATTATCATATAATTAATAAAAAAATAAAAAATATAATACTTTAATATATATATTTACACATTGTGTGTGTGTCTATACACACACACACACACTGATTTTATATTTTGTTTCTTAAATAATATTTAACAAATTTAATTGTCAAATTTATTCTAACGCCATAATAGTAATAATAACAATAATACTCTTATATATATAGACACATACATATAGACACACACACTCACAGATATATATATATATATATATATATATATATATATATATATATATATATATATATATATATATATATATATATATATATATATATATTAGGGTGTTCCTAAACCCACCCAAAAAATTGCTATATCCACCCCCTTTTACATAAATTTGCTAAATTCACACCAATGTCAAATTTATATTAATCAAAGTGGATTTAGCAAATATAAGTAAAAGGTGTGGATATAGCCTTTTTGGGGTGGATTTATCAAATATATATTTTGTATGTATATATATACTTGTATCCATACATATTATCACATAATATTAATATACACAACACATAAGTATTATTTTACTCCATTTCAATATTCTCTAGCTACCTATAATGTTAGTCATAGTATTGGTTATAAGTGATAAGCGGTATCTAGCAACATTATCACCTCCAAGTTATATACAAATATAAAGTTCTCAGAACAATTCCTACAACGACAAATCTCATTGTACATCTATTATCCCTCTATCACTAATATCCCGATTTAACAGAAGGTATGGAGTGTGCATCTTGGTAGAGTTAAATCAATGGTTTACTTATTTTTCGATTAACTTGTGGGATTCAAATAAAATATTTATTTGTTCATTGCCATACACTTGTCTAGTCACATCAATTAGTGTTCCCAAAGATGTAACACTTCATTAAAAAAAGATAAATTCTATCTATGTCATTCACATCTCCACTTAAGATTCATTGCATACCCACAATATAATTGTATGTCCACAAATATTTCAGATGGTATTAACTATGAATTGAAGTATGCAACTCAATTTACCAAAGATCGTAATAACTTCAAGTCGAAGGATAGTTATACTAGTGGTCGCATGAGAATACTACTAACACATTATCATAATACCCATGTATGTATTCTCATACTGGGTCAATCAAGTAATATATTCAATATGTTTTCCTACGTATAGATTTAGATAACACTTTATCTATAGCCTATGAGGCAGTTATCTCATCTCATACATATTAGTGTTAATATATTATGATATTTGTATTACCATAAAATTCGAATAGGAATAATTTAGACGTAGCCTCTAGATTTATAACATCCTCATAATCAGAATGTTGTTGTTTTCATTTATGTTACAAGAGAGCTTACTCTGAAAGGCCTATTATTCTTGATATAATTCAGACATGTAATCATAAGTTGGCCTCTAAATCTCATTTATATTCAACACTTTGGACATCTTGATTGAGCCTGGCATGCTTAGTGCTCGTCCGGTGGCACGCGTCTACCAGCAAATTATCACCTAGCTCTTGCTACAGGAGTCAAACTTCCTCAACCTTGACACAGATTGGTCGTCTTATTTATTTGACAATCTCTCACTCAAATCTCTCTTATGTAGTTCATACTCTCTCACAATGTATGGGTGTTTCATGTAAAGAGCATTGGGAGGCTGCACTGCATGTACTCTACTACTTAAAATCTCGGCATAGACACGGGCTTTTCCTCTCGGTTGAATGTGATCTGTCTCTCAATGCTAGTTAAAAAACATTCGCTGGGTACCAGCACATGCCAATTTTCTCTAGCAAAACCTGTACATGGTGGTATCATGGTACCCTCCGGATGCGCGGTATAGCCTACCGTTACGGCGGTAGGGGGTATCGTGTCAGGTACCGACCCACTGACCTGGTTTTTCCAAAACTTGCTTAATCTTTTCTATTTGAGTTAAAAAAAACTTTTGGATATTTGAAAATGATTATGAGATGGTTTTGAACATATTTGTGAGTAAATTTGAGCTTGTGAATATAGGTATATAAAATCATATCCTCATTTTTGTTTCTCCTTATATTCTATTCCAGTTTAAGGTTTCAACTTCATTCTTGAGAATCGAATCTTAATGGATTCATGTTATACTTGAAACACTTAAATAAAAGTTAGCTCATATATTGTTTGTGAACATGAAAATACAAGATTTATCAAACTAAGGCTAACAATCTCCCCTTTTTTATGTTGACAAACAATATACTTCAAAGTGAGTTAGGCGGGAGTAAAAATAATGAAGCAAGCAACCTACCCCTAAGAATAAG